GTGTGTGTGTGTGTGTGTGTGTGTGTGTGTGTGTGTGTGTTGTGTGTGTGTGTGTGTGTGTGTGTGTGTGTGTGTGTGTGTGTGTGTGTGTGTGTGTTGTGTGTGTGTGTGTGTGTGTTGTGTGTGTGTGTGTGTGTGTGCGTGTGTGTGTGCGTGTGTGTGTGTGTGCGCGCGCGCACGGGTATGTGTGTGTATGTGTGCATGTGTAAGCGCGCGCGTGTGTGTACACGCGCCGAATTAGCTCGGGTTAAATAAAATTTCCAGCACGGAATAGTTTGACGTCACGATACATTGCGCAGTACGTACACGACTTAGAATAGGCACGCAGAAAGTCTGACGAAGGGACCGTGTCGACGATACGGTTAGATGAGAAGGAGACCGAGCCAATTTCACAGTTTTCGCAATTTCGCAATTTTTATTACAAATGCGCCGTCGCACGTATAAAACAGGGCGTTATAAAAACATTAGACAGATCCTGCAGACGGGTTTTTGCAATGTGCAATTGCATGAAGTCGAGAAAATGCACGCAGAATGCATCGGTTTAGTGCTTATGAATAATGTAACCGCATCGTTTCTGTTGATTCCAGTGGCATAGACAGGTCCTCAGTTGTGGGGGGAGGGGATGATTTCGCTGTTACTTCCATCGCAATGTATATGAAGAGCGCGCGAGCAGCGGACACCGCGAGCGCCTTGGCGCAAAGCCTTTAATGGGTGGGGTCCAGGGGCCCGCCTCAGGGCCTCTGGCGGGGTGCAGGGGCAGAGCCCTGGCCCGGGGTCCAGGGGGCGGAGCCCCCGGAAGCTCTTGGATTTTAGCAATTTATAACCTTCAAGATGGCAGTTTTTAAGGGAATTGAAAAAAATTTATATTGTAAGTGCAATTTTGTGAATTCTAGGGTAATTTTTTTCTTTGAATCCCAGAGGCTTAATAACACGGAACCCCCTCCCCCCCACACACACACAACCAGAAATTTGAAAACAAATCATATATGGGGAATGCGTCCAAAATTAAGCGTCTGAGTTGCAGTAAAATAATGTCATTCTTGGAACGAGTTATAAACAGCCATTTTACAGTAGATGTATGTCACGTTCCATTTCTGTAATAATACATTAGGAGAGTATGAATAGCGATGACGGATTTGTAGATAAATTTCCAGTATTTATTGTCTGTAAAATATTAAATTTTTCCCCATTTTCTTCCTGAAAGTAGGGGGGGGATGAAAGCCACCCCACCTCAATAAGTGTGGGGGGATATATCCCCATCCCCCCGCTATCTACGCCCCTGTCAGATAAACTCAAATTTGACTTTTGATATGCATACAAATATTCATAATCATAATCTTTGTTAGCAGTACTCTATAGGCGCCGCGGAACGATTTTTGAAGTGGGGTGCTCAATTTGTTACGCTCGCCAGTGGCCAATGCTGGATTTCGAGGAGGGTGGTAAGAAACAGGCGGGGGTATGCGGGTCCCCCCCCCCCAGAAAATTTTGAATCCCCCATTTTCTTCCTGGAAGTAGGGGGAGATGATTGTACACGCCATCCTCCCAATTCAATAAGTGGGGGGATGCATCCCCCCCCGCTATCTACGCCCTTGGTTGATTCGCATATCATTAAGCCTATCCATTTGTCCGCGCACCCATCCATCCATCCATCAATCCAAGGTTGCTACGGCAGTCACGATAGGCTTTATGCGACTGTGAAAAGCTCGATCGAATCCTCACGTGTTGACTTACTGTTGGAAAGCAGTGCGAATTTCGGATTTTTTAAGTTCGGAATAACGTAGATTTAGATACGCGAACAGTGCGATAGCAATTTCCGAATATTCAATGGTATTGACATATGGAATGGTTTGTAGATCATATTGCTATAGCGAGCTGTAATATACAGTTTATAGGTTAAACTCTGCTCTCCCTCCCCCTCTCTCTCACTCACTCTCCCACTGTTTCCCTCGCCCCCTCCTGCTCTCTCCATCTCTCTTTGTCTCTGTTTCTCTCTCTCTCTCTCTCTCTCTCTCTCTCTCTCTCTCTCTCTCTC